GAGGGGCTGAGAGAGGCCGCCGAAGATATCTCCACGGCCAAAACGGCCGCCCAGAAGAGGCCATCCGAGCCGCCCAGGCCGCCGCATCCACCACAAATGTCTCTGCGGCCGAGTGGTCTGGGCCGAGCGGTCTGCCCTGGACCGAGCGGTCTGCCCTGGGCCGAGCGGTCTGTCCTGGGGGTCGCTGAAAAAGCCGCCCGCGAACCTCCAGCGGGGCCGCCGAGGACGGAAGGCTGGGAAAGCCGAAAAGGCCGAAAAAGGCCGAAAAAGCGGCTACCAGGTCGGCACCACGTCCCCGCGTCCCCGCGTCCCCACGCGTCCCGTATCCAGTCCAGGGGCCTTACCGGGGGAGGAATCCACATGGGGGACGGGTCTCCGGACCTCCAGGGGGCTTCCGAGCCCACCCTCTAGCCATTTTCGGGCTCCGCATTTTCGGAGCTATTCACCGACGTGTGCCATCTTCAGGCATGCGCAGTTTACATTAATGTTCCCCAAGTATTAGTTCTTTGGACCCCTGGGGAAAGAACTTACCTTAACTAACAGTCTGACGTCATCAGGGGTAAGGATAGGAGGGGAACCCTAGGAGAAGAAAAATAAAAAACACCTCTATCATTTGTGGAGATCATTTCAGAAAATCTGGTATCAAAGGTAGAACGTAAAAGATCATCTACCCTTGATCAAACGTCTTTTTGAAGGACCACATTACTGAAGCAGTTCTCACAAAGGAGAAGCAGCTCCACTACCACTGATGTAAGTTAAGAGAGTGATAGAGATGTCTACAACATCAGGGGTGGGCAACTATGGCCCCTTTATAACCTGTGGCATTCAATTTCCTGGCTCAGGAAATCTGGGTGTTGAAGTCCACAGGTTGTAGAGGAGCCATAGTTGCCAACCTCTGAACAACATAGTATGGTTTTCTTCTCAGGTATTCACGTACTGTACTGTAGTACAAATATTTGCTTGGAACAAAGTTGTTGATTTCTTAATGAAACGGGCCAATGAAAAGAAAGAGAAGAGAAAGAGAGAAAGGTTATGCGGTGACTTACTGGTTTTCCTGGTAGTCCTCTTTCTCCTGGATTTCCAGGTAAACCCTGTAGAAAGAAAGGGGGGAAAAGAATAATAGGGTCCTTGGTGCTCTCTGAACTTGGTGGCTTTCTTGTAGATGTTTCATTACCAAACTACATAACATTATCACTTCGAGGATCTCACAGATGAACCTGAACTACAAATATTCTCTTCTCTTGGTACCACATATGGGTATCAAACGCTTCAAAAATAATAGTGTTGTTCATCCATACAATGCAATTACACTGAGGTGTACATAGATGCCAAGTTTTTTTCTCTCTTCAGCTACAATGTGTTCCATTAGTAAAATTATTTTCACAATAGTCATATTCATCTAAGTAGCAAGATTCAGGAAGTTATGAGAGCTTCAAATTTCATAGAATGAAGGTTTCTTGTGGTCAATACAGGAATTGGAGATGTTTAGTTTAATGAAAAGGACTAGGGTGACATGATAGCAGTGTTCCAATATTTGCAACAAAGAAGGGTGCAACAAAGAAGATGGGGACAGCCTATTCTCCAAAACATCTGAAGGCAGGACAAGAAGCAACGGATGGAAATTAATCAAGGAGAGAAGCAACCTAGAATTCAGGAGGAATTTCCTGACAGCAAAAACAATTAATCATTGGAACAACTTGCCTCCAGAAGTTGTCAATACTCCAACACTTCAGGTTTTAAAAAAGAGACTGGACAACCATTTGTTTGAAATGGTATAGTTTTCTGCCTGAGCAGGGGGTTGGACTAGAAGATCTCCAAGGTCTCTTCCAACTCTATTATTCTGTACTGTTCATGTTTTTGTATGTTCAGTTTTCATGTAAGATGTTTCTACATCCTATGCTGATGTTCAGGGGTCTCTGCTGAATTCTGGTGACATGATCCTGATGTAATCTGGGGAAATATTTTTTTAAAAAGACCATGGAAGCAATTTGTTGACCATTTCTTTTCTCATTAAAAAGAAAGCAGTCCATCATAACTTGAAATCTTTCCACCTAGGTCTTTGAAAAAGAGAAGAGATCGTACTTAGAGTTTTTCAGTTAATTCATCAATGTCATTTTGCGTAAAAGTAGATTTTGGGAGAATCAATTCTGTCCCCTATTTTTATCTGTCTACATCCTCTTCTTTCTTTCTTTCTTTCTTTCCACAGGTTGAGAACCACTGGATTACATCTTATGTTGTAGCCTTCTTTACTTTGTACACTGCTGAGGGATTACTTCACCAACAAGCTATTATTTCACTAACAAGGTAAAAAGAAACTGCATTGTCTGTGTGGTTGTTGTTTTTTTTTAGTTTTGAAGGGATAAGGAAAACTATGCTTCCTCTGGTCTCATACTTTTTGCTCAACAATCCATTGTATTTCATAAATTAATAAACCGTCGGTCTTTTTACTTACATCCTGACCAGTCAGTCCAGGAGGACCTTGGATGCCTGGTAAACCTCGAGAACCCTGATGAAACAGAAAGAAGGAATTTGATGCGTTATTTCAAAGCTTATGTCAACGCTGCAAATACTGTATATTCTTGCTTTGACAATATGCAGAACTGTCTGGTATTTTTATAGTTAAATCAGGCAGCAGTGAAAGGGGAGGAGAATAAGGAAAGCCCGGGAAAAAGGAACCGGAAGTGAATCACATCTTCCAAGTTAATTGGAAGATGTGAACCATGACCCCAAAATAGGGGAGGGAAAAATGCCTGGAATGTTATGTGCAACAGAAAAGAAAATCAGATCTAAGCATTCCACCATGCCGTACTGACATCTCTGTAACCTTAATAAACGCTTTTAGGTTAAAAAAATGCCTGAAAGTTCTTTTAAGTATTTCGTTAATCAGACACATGACAGCTTACATACTATATTTTTCTATGTCATGGATGGAGAAACTTATTTGGGGCAAGAATTATCCTTGGTCTTCAACAGCGTTCTAAATAGTTATGGTAGAGATCAAAAGGAAGGAAAAAAAAACTCAACAATGCATGCTTCTATAAGCATTAATTACTAATTAATCCAATAATCTCTGGTCCTGTGTTTAATGATTTATCCTCTTGTGTTAAAATTACAGTTTGCCAACAGTTTTGAAGGTCGCTCTCACATGTGGTTCTGAATTCTCCCGTATACCGTTGATTTAAGGAGAAAATAACTAATGGTCAAAGCATAAGCGACACATAGTAGAATCAATCACCTGCTAAGTTTTATCCATACACTAAACACACCTAGAATTTTATCAGCTTTGCTTGTCTAAATTACCCAGACATCACCTACATCTCTGTTTTCTTTTGTTATGTTTTCATCACAACAATCCTTGGTACTGTAGTTCTCAACAATGCTTCTATAGAAATTTCATACTTTACCCTTTCAAGTGAATTGAAATTGAAATAAACCAAATAAGGGTTAATTCAATAAATTAATAAAGAGAATTATATGCAAAAAGCTTTCTTATATAAAATGTCCTGATAGGCAACCATGTCAAAGAGAGGTTTGTCCTTGACAAGCTTGTCTTCTACATATAGGAAGTTTCTCTAAATGTGATGAATTATGCATAATGCTCTGATCTCTAACATCTGAAAATGCCTCCTATCCAAGGAGGTGCCATCATATGGTAGCAAATGAACAGAGTATGGAAACAGAGATGATCAGCACAATTATCCTTTCATGAATCCCATAATAATCCAGCCCTTGAGTATTCTGCTCAAAATGCTCAGAACTTGTGGAAGGCATGAGGGCCTGGATATCTGTAGATCCTAAGCAATGTCATAAGGCAGGACATTTGGGAATGTAGAATCAAGTCAATATTTCTATATGAATTGATCCTACTGATACTATATGAACCTGAATTTACTACTATCATTGGCAAACCAAAAGGTGATATAATACAATAATCTTTCCATCCTATTTCCTACCACATACTGCATATAATTAGAAAGACCTACTGTACCGGTGGCCCTTTGTCTCCAGGAGGTCCCACAGGTCCCTGAAAAATATTGACAGTAATCATTCACTTTATTTATTTATTTATTTATTTATTCATTCATTCATTCATTCATTCATTCAATTTTTGTAGGCGCCTATCTCAGTCAATGCTTTAATGTGGATAATGAATAACCTCGACACAGCTGGGCACTTAAATAGCAAATGAATGTTACAACAGGAACAAATTCTAAAATTATATGTTAATCAGAGGATAAAGTTATCACAAACAACCCTCCCTAAATTTCTGGCTAATTCTTTTGAAAATTATACAGTTTTACAAACATTCAGGTTTGAGATAGAATTGAATTTGAAGGCAATGTGATTAAGAACTGAACTGACTTTCCAAATAAAATCCAGAAGTCTGCTTAAATCATAAACTCGACTGTTTCCAAACTGTTTTGGATGTCTCTGCACATGGGCAGAATTGTTTTTCCCAAAAACAATTTGACATTTCAGTAGGAATGACTGATTCAAATGGGATTGATTTTGCAAATCTAATCAATGATTTGATTCAGAATATTTGATTCACCAAGGGATTACGTCTGGCCTGTTTTTACTTTATCTGTGGCGAATTTTCTACGCAACAGTTTTAATGTTAGAATTAATTATGCCACTTGCTTTATTTTTCAACATTAATATACTATTAGTAATAATAGAAGCTACCCAGAAAGTATTAAAGATGCAGGACAAAAAGGGAATTGTTATGACAGATCCTTTATTGGTCAAATAATCAACATTTTTTTTTTTTGCTTCTGGTAGAGATGCAGGCAACTCAGTCTGTGTGATGTGAGTCTTGATATCATTCATGCCCCCAAGGTAGATGACGTGGACCACAATTTCAAACATGATTCACCTTTGAAAGACTCATTGAGGTTCATCACAAATTGTGAGTAATATGTTCCATACTTACTAGTGGCCCTGAAAGTCCAACACCTGGGGTTCCTCTATCTCCTGGTTGACCTGGAACACCTGGAGCACCTCGATCTCCCTGACAAGGACAAGTTAAATATTGCATATATCAATAAATTTATTTTCCAGACCTATTATAACAACTATGTTATATCCATCTTACATTAGAAAAGGAGAGAGAGGGGGGAGGGAGGGAGAGGGAGGGAGAGGGAGGGAGAGAGAGAGAGAGAGAGGGAGGGAGGGAGAGAGAGAGAGAGAGGGAGGGAGGGAGAGAGAGAGAGAGAGAGAGAGAAACAGAAGTAGGGATGGCTAAATTTGATTAAGGTGACTTTTACTGTGCTTCGGCTTTCCAATTTAAAGTAATTCCATCTTATTCCTATATTTTTTATTTTTTTACAAAGAGTTGTACAAATATAAACAGTGATACATTCGTGCGTTTTACATGAATGTCTCTTTAAACTTACATTTTTGCAAATAATTTCCTTACTGGGCAGAAAAGATAGAATTTATCATCAGTATTATTTGCTTCTTTTTAATTTCTAAACTACATGTTGTCATTGAAAATTTATCACAAAGACGATTCACATTATTCTTTTTAATATTTTAAAAGAATTTGTATCTGTTCCTTCTCAAGATTTAAACACTCACTTAAAATTGAGTGGAATCCAAACTAAAACATTCAGACAAAGTTCAAATTTGTGCAAAATTTACTTTCTACTCTGTAATGGAACCATTCATTTTTAAATCAATATTTGCATTGACAAACGTCTTTTTCTGGAATGGCTTTCTATCTTGCAATTAAAAATAAGTCCCGGCTTAAAAAGAGAAAACTGGCCTTTAATTATCAGCCCCCATCGTTGTATAGGTATTATGTTTAATGCTGTCCCCTACTACAAAATTAGAGCTTTTGTGTGTTCATCTATCAGTTGTTTCTCTTGCACTTGCAAATGGTTGCAAATGAACCTGGTTTAAGAATCCTTTTCCAGATTTCAACCCCTTCCTCTAGTTCACTACAATGATGACCAGCTATTTCATACCACTATTATCAAAGTCCCTGATTGGTGGATTCCCTTGCCTCCCTCACACACAACTGTGCCAGGAAACAAAGATCCAATTGTCTTCCCTTCTGTGAGAAGATCTTCTGAAAACTGGTGGGAAAAGAAGTTTCATAGCATTCCTAATGCTTGGATTAGAAAGGCAAATGGGAGGGAGGGAGGGAGGGAGGGAGGGAGGGAGGGAGGGAGGGAGGAAGGAAGGAAGGAAGGAAGGAAGGGTTATGTTCCTCTGTTGAACCTAACACAAGAGTCCACTTTTCATGGCCAGAAGCCCAGCAGTGACCAAAGATGGACTGAACAGCATTCTTTGCACCAGCAGAGGTGGGAAAGTACTACATCTGATTGAGAGACCTTAGGTAGAGATCATATCTGACCAGGATAGGGGCAATAGATGGCATCTTTCACTCTAGTCCTGCTGAAATAATATCTGGCCAGACCTGTTCCTCTGCAAACATGAAATGCACCTCCATCCTTAGTTTATCATAGAAGGGCAAAGCAGATATTCACCTTATGCCCAAAGGTTCCAGGTAAACCTGGTGGACCTCTTTCACCCTAGAAAGACACACAAATATAAAAGAAGTTAACATGATCCTCCCCAACTGGAAAAGCAAATACATCCATTTATTAGACCTCTGAAAATGAACATGAATTCTAGCCCTAGGTCTGCTCACTCTCAAGAATAGACATGTGGGGAACCCATTTACAAAGAACAAATAATAACCCCTAACCAGTAGTGGGATTCAGCCAGTTCACACCACTTTGGCAGAACCGGTAGCTAATTTTTTGTTGCCCAGGCCCAGAATAGACTTCCAGAAGCAGCATCCAATCAGAGAACCGGTTGTTCACATATCTGAATCCCACCACTGCCCCTAACCCTTGGGTGATGAATATGTTACAATGAAACCCTCAATTTAATAGACTTTGGATGGAATGGAAAACATTTTTGTTTGGAAATTCTATTCTGAAATAATAGATAAGTTATTCAAAGTAGTTTTGATGGTCCATTTATATTTACATTAAATTTGGCTATAGCAAAATATCATAAATTAATGCAATCCACATCCTTTCAAATTCAACAGACATTTGATAGTGCCATATAGCACTCCCCAATGGTCCACTACATTGAGGTTCAGTATATTACTATGTTCAGAAAACATGGCACAGTATTTCCAAACAAATTGGTGCTTTAGCTGCTTAATTCGATGGTCCAGTTCATATAACTTACAAAGACAATGGCCTACAAACCTACAAACTACTCAAGCCATGTTCGCCAACCAACAGGTTGTGTTATCTCAACCAAGCCATGGTGTGCTTCAGGGGCTTGGACAACAAGTCAATAATCTTGAAGCTGTTTGCCACTCTGTTATTCTTAAGACACCAATCAGGAAACATTTCTTTTGAATCAAGGAAATTATTTTAATTGTATCACTAATAGGTAAATGCAAGCTATAGGGTGAAAACAGTGGTGGGATTCAAATATGTGAACAACATGGTTCTCTGTGTGGATGCCGCTTCTGGAAGTCCATTCTGGACCTGGGCAACAAAAAATTAGCTACCGGTTCTGCTGAAGTGGTGGGAACCGGCTGAATCCCACCACTGGGTGAAAATGTTTGAATAGATCACAACTGGGATGGGATTTTCTCCTCTTTTCTGACATTTGGAGTGAACTGATAATACTTTGTGTACCAAGTAATCAGATATTCTTTCTTTTTTGAACTAAACAGAATGTAATAGGGCCTTTTAAGTTTGAGGAAGTAATTTACATGCCTTCTTTGGGATGGAGACCAATTGAAAGTACTTTCACTTCCTATGTGTCACTCCATCAAATTCCTTTAATGTCCTCCCAAATCCCCTTTTTAGAGTGAGATGGGTGGCATATACATTAAATAAATGAATTGTTTAATTGTTTAAATAAACTACTGTTTGCTTCCTAAAGGCCTAGTTAATATTTAGTCTGCAGTCTTCTAATAATTAGCTTCTCTTTGGAGTCTATTGTATGAGGTGCTTAAGAAATTTTCTTCTTCCAAATTTATACATAAGCTCTGTTTGTACACATCTCACTTAGTTTTAACTTTATTTAGGGGGTTGTGTGCATGTGTGTGTATAGGTGTGGCATTTACAAGCCCAGTTTATTGGGTTAGTTGATGATTCAGTGTACCGGTAGTTCATGAACCCAGAAAAGCAGCTATGCCAATCACTAAATCACTGGCAAACACAGTCATTGAATTATAGACAAGACTGACTAATTACAAAAGCTCACAGGTTTTTGTGCTTTCATCTTTAATTTCACAATTTGTTCAACCTATTGTTCTTCCAGTTTCAGTTTCTTTGCTCTAATGGTTGCCAGGATGCAGAGGGATACATGCAACCCAATCAAATTAAAACTTGACAGGAATGAATAATAGTAGCAGCATTTCTGACATAGTCTTTTTAATATGCTTTTTCCTGATATTCTGTTTCTGGGCATATTCACAGTTCATAAGAGAAGGGATGACAGCTGAAAACGCAAATTAAAAAAAATGTTGTTCAGGTAAACCAATGACAAAGTAGACAATGCTGTGGAATAGAATTATAACTCACAAAATGAGTAAATTGGATCAATCAGATCATTCTCAAAGTGACAGGTATCTGCTTTTGTTGATTCGTTACTAAGTTACTGACTCTTTGCAACCCCACGGACCACAGCATGCCAGACCCCTCCCCATTCTCCAGTGTCTCCTGGAATCTGCCTAAATTCATGTTCATTTTGTCGATGACACTATCTAACCATCTCATCATCCTCTGTTGTTCTCATTTTGTCTTCCATCTTTCTCAACATCAGGTTCTTTTCCAATGAGCCCTCTCTTCTCATTAGGTGGCCAAAGTATTTGAGCTTCATCTTCATCTTCAGCCCTTCCAAAGAATAGACAGGGTTGATTTCTCTTAGATTGACTGATTTGATCTCCTTGCAATCCAAGGGAGTCTCCAGTATCTGCTTATACAACTAGTTCAGGAATTAAATTTACCCTTTCTCCATCTCGACCCTTTCCAGGTAATCCAGGTCCTCCAACAGCTCCTGGTTCACCTGTAGGCCCAGGTGGACCTAGTTTTCCTTCCTTACCAGGTTCTCCCTGCAGAAAAAAGCAACGGGAATAGATTGACAATTAAGACAGGCTAGGAGGCAGGCAGTACCTTCTACGTATTTCATTAATCAACATCAAAGGTTTTCATTCAGACTGGGAAGGACTCTGGATGGCTCACCACCTTTTTCTCCTACATAGAGAAGCCAAGAAAAAAAACCTAGAACTTTCTTCTAAAAACCTTGTGGAAATCAATATAAGCACTTCAGTATTTGGATTGCAAATACTTCTTTACATCACATGGAGTTTTAATAGCCTCATTGTACCAGTTTTCCTTCGAGCATGGAATTTATTCAGTTTATCCATCCATTAACAACTTGTATGACAAAGAAATAATGAAACTAAAGCAACCACCAATGAGGAGAATGTAGGATGTGGGAAACACATCCTTAAGTTATCTTTAACAAGCTTTTATTTTGTGTTATATTATAATCTCCCTTTTTCCCCCCTTAGGTCTGAAATATCTCATTGGTATAAAATCACAAAACTGACCTGGAAGATTTGGATACATCCTAACTGTTCACTACTCTCTACGTGCCTTTAAGGATAATGACACAGAAGTAATACAAAAATACTGGCCCAAACCAGTGATTTTGCCATGATGTCCATATGTAATGGTGATGTCATCCCAAATGGAGCAATTATATAATCAGATTGTAATGTCTGACATAAATATGCAGGTTGTGCCATTTGCATGATGAGACCCTCAGACATACATCATCATTTGTCTTCCTTTGTCACCCCTGCATGGTTTGGAGGAACCAATATCACAACAACACCCAATTGCAGACATTTGGAACGTCCATGTAAAGGCTAGCAAAAGGAAGTATGTATCATAAATTTCTCTAATTCTGAAGCTGAAGAGGCAGATTCTCAGCCTATAGTTAGGTAGCAAATATGCTATTCGCTTCCCAGGAATGATGACTGAGACCTAATCATTGAAGATGTTGATTACCAATTTGGAGAATAAGGAGCTGAATCTTCAACTTGGGAACTTGGAGGCTCAAAACCACATTGCTAGCTAAGGAGGATTGAGCAGCCAACATTGAAATGCCTCCTCTAGAGGACAAGACATTAAATCCTCTAACATTAAATCCTCTAATTATACAAAGGTTCAAACTTCTTTCCTCTAGTTCAGTGATGGCGAACCTTTTAGAGACCGAGTGCCCAAAAACTGGCCCTGCCTCTGCTCCACCCCCTGCCCCGCCCCNCAGGTAATCCAGGTCCTCCAACAGCTCCTGGTTCACCTGTAGGCCCAGGTGGACCTAGTTTTCCTTCCTTACCAGGTTCTCCCTGCAGAAAAAAGCAACGGGAATAGATTGACAATTAAGACAGGCTAGGAGGCAGGCAGTACCTTCTACGTATTTCATTAATCAACATCAAAGGTTTTCATTCAGACTGGGAAGGACTATGGATGGTTCACCACCTGTTTCTCCTAAATAGAGAAGCCAAGAAAAAAAACCTAGAACTTTCTTCTAAAAACCTTGTGGAAATCAATATAAGCACTTCAGTATTTGGATTGCAAATACTTCTTTACATCACGTGGAGTTTTAATAGCCTCATTGTACCAGTTTTCCTTTGAGCATGGAATTTATTCAGTTTATCCATCCATTAGCAACTTGTATGACAAAGAAATAATGAAACTAAAGCAACCACCAATGAGGAGAATGTAGGATGTGGGAAACACATCCTTAAGTTATCTTTAACAAGCTCTTATTTTGTGTTATATTATAACCTCCCTTCCCCCCCCCCCCCCAGGTCTGAAATATCTCATTGGTATAAAATCACAAAACTGACCTGGAAGATTTGGATACATCCTAACTGTTCACTACTCTCTACGTGCCTTTGAGGATAATGACACAGAAGTAATACAAAAATACTGGCCCAAACCAGTGATTTTGCCATGATGACCATATGTAATGGTGATGTCATCCCAAATGGAGCAATTATATAATCAGATTGTAGTGTCTGACACAAGTATGCAGGTTGTGCCATTTGCATGATGAGACCCTCAGACATACATCATCATTTGTCTTCCTTTGTCACCCCTGCATGGTTTGGAGGAACTAATATCACAACAACACCAATTGCAGACATTTGGAATGTCCACGTAAAGGCTAGCAAAAGGAAGTATGTATCATAAATTTCTCTAATTCTGAAGCTGAAGAGGCAGATTCCCAGCCTATAGTTAGGTAGCAAATATGCTATTTGCTTCCCAGGAATGATGACTGAGACCTAATCATTGAAGATGTTGATTACCAATTTGGAGAATAAGGAGCTGAATCTTCAACTTGGGAACTTGGAGGCTCAAAACCACATTGCTAGCTAAGGAGGATTGAGCAGCCAACATTGAAATGCCTCCTCTAGAGGACAAGGCATTAAATCCTCTAACATTAAATCCTCTAATTATAAAAAGGTTCAAACTCCTTTCCTCTAGTTCAGTGATGGCGAACCTTTTAGAGACCGAGTGCCCAAAAACTGGCCCCGCCTCCGCTCCACCCCCTGCCCCGCCCCTGCTCCACCCCCTATCCCCTGCCCCGCCTGCCCGCAGGGCCACTCACTGCCTCCAGGGCTCGCCGCAGGTCGCCCAGGCAACCCAGCAGCATTATGGCGGTCACGCCCTCTGCCTGCACCCTGCAGCATTAACTGTGTACGATGGGGTGTGAGGGCAGAGTCTTGTCTACGCTGCCTGGCTGCCACATCCTTGGCTGCGCTGCTCCACGTGGACCACGTTCAGAGGCGACTCTCCTTCAGGGGAACTGCTGGAGAGGAGGGGGTCGCGGGGGGAAGCGAGGCTGGGGCAACGGCACATGTGCCCACAGAGAGGGCTCCGAGTGCCGCCTCTGGCACCCGTGCCATAGGTTCGCCACCACTGCTCTAGTTGCAATGTTAGAACTGCATTCCTCTGGCTTCGTATTCTTGATTTCTCCTGATTTCTTGTCCTACCAGCAGTTGTTTGGATTACAGCCTCCAGCCTGGATATTGCAGACTTCTTTGGCCTTAGACTATCAGACATTCTCCTCTTGGTTGTGTTTAAGCCACCACTACAAACTACAAGAAGAGGTGCAGAGCTCTCTCTGTCTAATTTACAGCCGATAGCTCTAGCATTAACTGCCATGGCTGAGCTAATAAAACTGAAGAGTACTAATTGCTACCCTGCTTACTGCTGTTCAGCTAGTACAGGACAATATTTGACATGCACAACATCAGATAGAGGAGATAAAAGACTGCACAGGTAACTACTTTAATTCATGCATAATAAGATTTGCATATTATTTAAGCCAGGGGTCCCCAATCCCCGGTCCGTGGACTAGTACCAGACCACGGCATGCGAGCAACTGGTCAGCACAAACAAGCAAAGCCCCATTTGCGGGATGCAGGCAGCACACAAAATCACACATTCTCCAGTCTGTGGAAAAAACCTTTCTCCATGGAACTGGTCCCTGGTGCCCAAAAGGCTGGGGACCTCTGATTTAAGCAGTATTTACAGCAAGCCAAATTGATGACCCATACATGGTGATTTTGTCAGGCCAATGCCACTGTAACATGCTAGCATCACAATGTTTGATGCCAATTATAAGATATGGCATTTCATGTCATTATACAGGTAGTCTTTTTCTTGCACCCATTTCATTTAATGACAATTCCTAGTTATGAAAACACTGAAAAAACTGACTCCTCGCACTTACAACCGCCCTAGTATCCCCTGGTCAAAATTTGGGGATGTGACAACTGTTGTGTATTTATAATGGTTGCAGCAACCCAGAAACATGTTATAACCATTTGCAACCTTCCCGGGGGGGGGTGGTCTTCCAATAGCAAAATCAATGGTAGAAGACAGATTTGCCTAATGACATCATGATTTGTTTAACGACCAGGGTGATTTGCTTCATGACCATGTCAAAAAGATCATAAAATCAGGCACAACTCATTTAATGACTTAGTGATGGAAATTCCAATATGTAATTCTTTTAATGTTTAGCCCTCCTGCAAATAACCATTACACCTTAGCTGTGGATAACATCTTTTCACCTTTTCTCCTTTTTGTCCATCAGTTCCTGGCTGACCAGCAGCTCCTGGTATACCCTGTAAAGAAAATAATATGCAACAAATCAAATTTTTCTATGGGACAGGTTGATTAGGAATTATATGAGCATGATTCAGGTATGTGAAAAAATAAAGAGATTATTTGTAACGATAAACATGAAGAGCCATTTTGGTCTAATGCTTAAGGTAGCAGGCTAGAAAGCAAGAGACTGTGAGTTATAGTTTCACCTTAGGCATGAAAGCTGACTGGGTGACTTTGGACCAATCACCAAGATTGTGAGTTCTAGTCCCGCCTTACGCATGAAAGCCTGGCTGGGTGACTTTGGGCCAATCACCAAGAGATTAAGAGTTCTAGTCCCGTCTTAGGCCTGAAAGTCGGCTGGGTGACTTTGGGATAATCATCAGTAAACTATGAATTCTAGTATCGCCTTAGGCCTGAAAGCTGGCTGGGTGACTTTGGGCCAATCACCAAGAGATTGAGAGTTCTAGTCCCGCCTTAGGTCTGAAAGTCGGCTGGGTGACTTTGGGATAATCATCAATAAACTATGAATTCTAGTATCGCCTTAGGCCTGAAAGATGGCTGGGTGACTTTGGACCAATCACCAAGATTGTGAGTTCTAGTCCCGCCTTAGGCCTGAAAGTTGGCTGGGTGACTTTGGGCAGAGGCGTAGCGTGGGGGGTGCAGGGGGGCCCGGCCGCACCGGGCGCAACATCTGGGGGGGAGTGCTCACACTCGCAGCTCTCTGCCCCTGCCTGGCTCACTCACTCTCTATGCAGTGCTGGCTGTGCGAATCCGATCCAAGCCGCCGGGTCACCGCCCACTGTGGAGGGGGGGGCGCAAATTACTTGCCTTGCCCCGGGTGCTGACAACCCACGCTACGCCACTGACTTTGGGTACCAATCAGTTAGGAGATAGTGATTTCTAGCCCCGCCTTAGTTCTGAAAGCAAGCTGGGTGACTTGGGGCCAGTCACTATATCTCAGCCCAGCTCACTTCACAGGGTTGGGAGGAGGAAGGTGTGTGGAATATGTTAACTACATTGAGTTATTTGTAAAAATAATAATAATAGTAAAGGCAGGATGCAAATAAATAAATGAATAAATAAATAAACTAATGGAAATTGTCTGTAATCATCACTTTAATTACTTCTCGTGAATATTTTGTCAGGGTATTTTTATTAAATGTTCCATATTTATTCCTTTGTGACGTTTGTACATCATTTCCCATTAAAAACACCTCAAAATTGTTTATCGTAAATATTTGTATGCTATATTGTGTAGCAAATGCTGAACTTTTTCATCCAAGAGCAATTAAAGACATCCTTGCAGCTGCATGTTGAAGTAAAATATCGCTTTGTGTCTTGCGACGGACTTCAATTATTTTTCAAAGAATGTGACCGAAGTCCCATCGCTCTTTTTTGAAGCAGAGAGAAAAGGGATAATAAAACAGCAAGGATCATTTTTTGCACTCAGAGTTCCTTTCCTTTTATTGGGAAGATGACTTGTACCCACAAAATGACACCACATTGAAACAGCCAGATAAATACTCCAGAGCCTGTTAGAAAACCTTCTCCTTGCAGTTACAGATTCTTGGAGATAGATTCCAAGTTCATGTTGGGGAAAAAAAATCTTGACTCATAAGAACAGTTCAACAGACTACAAGAAAGGTGCTAAACTCATTTCCCCAGGATGAGTTGAAGCAAAAAAAAAACTACATAGTACCCATCATGGATCCTTTCACTGGCATTTCAACACAGAGTCCGGGATTGGTGACTCCTTTGAATCCCCAAAAAATATGATTCTGTAAATTCTAATAAAGCTAACAACATTTCTCCAAATGTTTGGCCATTTCCATGGATAGATCCCAGCTTGTTGGAGCATTTTCAAATGCAATACAAGTAAATCCTCAATTTACAACCTCAGTTTTGCCTGGAATTTTGGTTGCGAATCATTGGAGTCATAAGTTGAGTCACCATATGACTGGACTCAATTTTATGACAGTTTTATGACAGTTAATAAATGAGTCGCGTGTTCATTAAGCAAATCACACGATTGTAAGTCCAAATCTAGCTTATCCAATGGGAGCTTTTGCTGGAAAATAGTTGCAAAACACAGTCACATGATAGCAAGATGCTGCAACCCATCATGAATGTGAGCTGGTTGCCAAGCAGTCAAAATGTCCCTCATGTGACTGTAGGGGATAAGTGGCAGTCATAACTTTGAGGATGGGACATAAGTAACTTTTTTTTCATTGTAAGTGACCAGTTGTAACTTCCTGTACTTCCAATGCATTGCAACCTTATTCCTGTATTTAACTAATAAAATGGGATTCCGTACTGTGCAAGACATATACAGAAAGAGGAGATGGCCAAAGACACGAGGCAGACCCAGAAGAAGATGGAGAGACAACATTATCAAATAATAGCATCAAATAACAGTGGCTGGGAATGCTAGAAGAGCAAGAAACAGAACTTTGTATCTCCCTGGACACCCACAGCAATAAAACAGGAAGTAAACGAGAAGAGAAGAAGATGTGGACAGCAGGTGTCAAGGAAGAAGTCATGCAAGTTGTGGGAGCAGTTGATAGAGGTAAAATTCCATCCCCTTCAAAGGTGATGAATCTGTGTCACCAGGATAATCAGTGTGGATTTAGCTGGTGAACAAAGGCACAACTGCTCTTCTTCCAAATAACTGGCTTTTCCTTGCCGTTGTATACGCACCACATTCCCAGGCAAACCACGTGGGCCAGGTGGTCCTGCAGGTCCAGGGATACCCTGTTAAAATAAATCATAACCACAGGTTTGAAGAATATATTGGTTCTCATAAATGACATTTATGCAAATTTGGTCTCAGTGTTATTTATTTCTTCCTTTAAATCTAGTGGCCGCCCAATGCCTGTGGACTCTCCCTATAAATTAGAGAAAAGAGTGGACTCTAACACAGAATCACCTTTGTGTTTTGCCTGCTAACAATATTTATTCACTAGATTTATTCTCAATATCAACACTGCAAATGGCACTGTTTCAGAGATGGAAAGGCTCTTAAATATCCCAGTGTTTGTTAAACCTTTATCTACCTTGAAAAAAATATTCTTACTTACAATTTCTCCTGGAGGTCCAGGATGACCTACTTCCCCTTCTTGTCCTTTCAGACCCTAAAGAAAAGAAAGAAGGGTTCAGTCTAGTAGGTAGAAGAGTCAAAGATGCAGAAGCTCAGGAAGTCAATAAGGCAAGTTGACCCCGTGCCAAGATAGCGGTTGAAGGAACTTTGATAACTGAAGGAAAATAATGCTGCTCCTTGGTTTCATTCACTAAAAGTTAGTAACACCTGGACATCAAGCTGAGATACCCAGGTCTTTATCATCTTATTTTAAAGGATACTATTTGTTCAAAAGGAACAGAAGCAAAAGGAAATGAGAAGTGTTAAGGGTATTCATTCCTACTCAGCAATCTACATAAATCAGGGGTCTTCAAACTTGGCCCTTTTATGACTTGTGGACTTCAACTCCCAGAATTCCTCAGGCAGCATTCCTGGCTGAGGAATTCTGGGAGTTAAAATCCACAAGTCATGAAGGGGCCATAGTTCTCCCATGCTGGCTCAGGAATTCTGGGAGTTGAAGTCCACAAGTCATAAAAGGGCCATGTTTGAAGACCCCTGACATAAATGAACTTGGAGATGTGATAACAATAAGATGAACAACAAATAAAAGTTATAATGTTATTGGTCACAACAACCTGGCCAACCAAGGAGAAGACTCAGATGATACTTTCAAACACCAATGGCAGATCTTTTGAAAAATGAGTAAGAAATAAAGTTGTATTTACGGGATATTTTAATTACTCTGATATGTTCATTGTGATCATAACAATTATATTGCAGTTTCTATGACCAGCAATTAATTATACTGGAAAAGCACGAAGTCTGTCACATGATCAACAACAGCTTTTCCTGGAATCTTAAATTCAATCAGAGTGAGCGACAAATTAGAACATTTGCTTATTCTATATTCAAGTACACATGGTTAAAGTCAATACAGAAATTATTATATTTATTCCTACTGAAAATTTAAAAAACTGAAAAGTTGAATTGATGATTAGAATTATTTGGGATTATGGAAATAATATAGATAAATTTAATCAGAGTATTAGTTTGATGTATTTTTACTTGTACCTATAAACAATGGGTGTTTGTTTTTATATTATTTTTGAACCCATTCCATTCCAAAGCTCATTCCATATAATAATAATAATAATAATAATAATAATAATAATAATAATAATAATAATAATAATAATAATAATAATAATAATAATAATAATAATAATAATAAAGTTGAAAGGGACCTTGGAGGTCATCTAGTCCAACCCCCTGCTCAGGCAGGAAACCCTATCCCATTTCAAAAAATTGGCTGTCCAGTCTCTTCTTAAACACTTCCAGTGTTGGAGCATTCACAACTTCTGGAGGCAGGTTGTTCCACTGGTTAATTGTTCTCACTGTCAGGAAATTTTTCCTTCGTTCTAGGTTGCTTCTCTTCCATCCATTGCTTCTTGTCCTGCCTTCAGGCACTTTGGAGAATAGCTTGACTCTCTCTTCTTTGGGGCAGCCACTGACGTATTGGAAGACTGCTATCATGTCCCCCCTCGTCCTTCTCTTCATTAAAATAGACATCCCCAATTCCAGCAACCGTTCCTTATATGTTTTAGCCTCCAGTCCCCTGATCATCTTTGTTGCTCTTCTCTGCACTCTTTCTAGAGTCTCTGCATCTTTTTTACATCGTCGTGACCAAAACTGGATGCAGTATTTCAATCCAATCTCAGCTTGAACATACTCAGTGCATTGTTCTCATTGTTCTAACTGTCAGAAAATGTCTCCTTAGTTCTAGGTTGCTTCTCTCTTTGGTTAGTTTTGTCCAACCATTCTGATTTCATTCCACAGATGGGAAGAAAGGTAGATGGATGAATATTAACTTGTAAACCTCTTAAAGATCAACTCTACTTGTTTATCATCTGACTTTCAAGGATACCACTGAAGTGACCAGGTCCTCCTGAAGCATTGGGATGGCCATCTCCTCAGATGGTCTAAGCATGCAAATCAATACATAAAAGACAGCTCAGCTGGGATTGCCAATTCAGACATTACAAGAGGACTTTAGGTTATCTGTATCAATGTCTTAATCATATGAACAGTTTTCATCACCCTATCATATATATCAATATATGAGCTAGTTTAGTGGTTTTATTTTAGCTTAACTTACCTCTGACCCTGCAGGTCCGATTGGTCCCTGTTTTCCTGGAACACCTGGTTCTCCCTATAGAAAAGAAGCAGCAGAAAAAGAAACACACATAAATGATCTCAGTTTTAGATGATTTTTTTCCTCCAATGTAGTGAATCTGAGTATCTTGATCTAAGAAAGAGATGTTCTTTTAGCATCAGAAAAGGTTCATTATTAAGAGCCAAATGAGGGTATTTGATCCTGGACAGATCAGAGATAACGATTGGGGTGATCTGTGTTAGAGAAGAAACAATTGTAGATTTTCTACGAGTAAACAGATTGTCAACAGAGGGTCTTGAACTTTAACTTTGCTGTTGTTTAACCCCTTAACACTTTTTTATATACATTCAGTGTATGACAGGTCAATCAGGTTGCAAATAGATGTAGAAGTTTATAAATTTTGGACCTGCTTTGCCTAGAGGGGGAGCTATTATTGTTGCAATAGATTGGTCAGTGTTCAACTAGTGACAATAATATGTGTTTTTGTTTTTTATCCTTTTTAATTCACATTTTTAATGTTATTGTCTAGATTTGTTTGGTCTTTGTTAATTTTCTTTTCCTTTGGATTTTGTATCTCAATCTTTGGAATAAAATAAAAAAAAATTATGAAAGCATTAGAAGAGGAATTTTACCTTCTCCTGCACCATAACTATTTTAAAACCTAAACAAGGGGAATATCTGCGGGACTGCCTCTCTCCAGTTATATCAGCCCCATTAGCTCTGGCAGAGAAGACATGCTATGAGTTGTCCCATTCCCTGCTAAGGTCTACAACATCTCACTGCTGCCAACTCACCATGGCCAACTTACCACAGCCAACTTGTTGTGGCCAACTCACTATGGCATAAGAGTTTCACTAACATCGAAAAAATAGTGGAATAGAATCATTAAAGAAAGGATGGACAAAGGAGGGACAAAAATGAAATGTGAATGGCAAAAATTAAAATATTTTTAAAATGATTTTAAATCATTAAATTGAATTGTTGAATTGCCCCACAGTTGAGTTGTCCTGTGGCAAGTTGGCCGTGGTGAGTTGACCGTGGTGAGTTGACCATGGCACGTTGGCCACAAGTTGTCCCATTCCATGCTATGAGTACCATCAGCTGTAGATCTAGATAAATACCGGACAAACCAAAGAGATCATTGTCGACTTCAGAAAAGGCAGGCACAGCCACACTTCTCTGTGGATAAATGATTCACCTGTGGAGATGGTTACCAGCATCACATTCCTGGGTGTGCAGCTAACGAGTAGGCTGACTTGGTCGCTCAACAGTGAGAAACTGGTGAAGCGGGCACAGCAGCACCTGCATTTTCTGCGCCACATGAGAAAAGCACATCTTCCTTCCCCTGTCCTGACCACTTTCTACAGGGGGACAATCGAGAGCATCCTGTCATACAGCATCACAGTCTGGTTTGGAGGCATCACTGCTTCAGACAGGAAGGCGGTGCAGAGAATGGTGAGGATGGCCGAAAAGTTCCCTCCCTCCCATCCAGGACATAGCACAGAAGCGCTGCTTGAGCAGGGTCCGAAAGATTATCTGGGACACTACACATCCTCTTCACGACCTGTTTTCCTTGTTACCTTCTGGGAGGAGGCTTCGTGGTATCCGAAGCAGAACATCCAATTTCAGCCAGCGTTTCATTCCATACAGCATTAACCTTGCAAACTCTCAAGCTTCCTCCTTCCGTTATATATTCAAGATGGACAATATTTAATATTTATTTGCTACGTATATGTAGGGATGTGGGTCTATACATATGTTGTTCATAGTATGTTTAGGTGTGTGTCATGTATGTGTTTCACTTTGAGAGCAGGCAACTAAATTTCATTTTTGATGTGTGCCATTGTGCCCACAGTATAAAAATGATAATAAAGGTTATCTTATCTTATCTCTTATCTTATTGGCTCCCAGGAGATATGCCTTCTCTGTCACGGTGCCTGCTTTATGGAACATTTTTCCCTCCAAAATCAGATTAGTTCCATCCCTTCTAATATTTTGGAATTCCCTCAGGACCTGGTTATACAATCAGGCCAGAAGTTCACAGGTAACAGAAGATATGCTCAGACAGTTCCATTGCTAAATACCCATTGTCGTCCTCCCTTTGACTAGGGTTGGTATATTTCTTTTTATAATGTTCATTTTCATCTGGATTTTATGTTTTTATATTTATTATTCAATTCTTATATGGCACCCAGAATCTTGTTTTGTGGGATGGGCAGCTATATAAATAAATAAAATTCTGTTTCATAACATAAGACCAACACGGTTGTAACATAAGACCAACAATTCACTCTGTTTATTTTCCTAAAATTATCCATCTTAGTTTATTAATGTAAATGATTATTTTCATAAACAATATTTAGAAATAGTAGATGTAATACATCTATCTACTTATATGCTATAGATGTATTATCCATGATATATGATACATAAATAATGTTTAAGTAGATACTGTACATAGATAGTTGGATCAGATCTATTATCTGTTTATCTTCTACCATCTTTCTCTACAATTTATTTATTTTTTAATCACCATGCTGCCTATATTTTAACTTTCTACTCATTTGAAATGGTTTATCTGAAAAGAAAGAGTATAATAATCTGCTTACGGGTTCACCTCTTTCTCCACGATCACCTTTTTCACCTTTTGGCCCTTGTTCTCCCTTGAGTAAAACAGAAAAAAAGAAAATAATTGTATGTTCGTTTAGATAAAGAGTGATAGAACTGCTAAACATGACAGCCTCCATTACAGCAGAATGATCTGGCTCCTATCTGAGATAGAAATTCATTAGCAAGTCCATTCCAGCTGCGGAATTGAGTCTTCTGTTCCGAAGGTGACACTCCTATTAATTAAATGGCCACAGGCAACTTTGCAGGAACATGGTCTGATTCCATATTTTGTGAGAGTGGTTAAAAATAAAGTCTCTCTCGAGTCAAGCTTGACTTGTAGTCACTTCATAGACTATGATGGCATGTGCAACTAAAGGAGAAGAGAGAAGGGAAAGTCAGCAGTAGCCATACCTTAGAACAGGGGTAGTCAACCTTGGCTCTTTTATGACTTGTGGACTTCAACTCCCAGAATTCCTGGCCAGCATGGCTTAGCTTGGAAACCTCTACCTTTCCCCTCAGCATGGCTGGCTCAGGAATTCTGGGAGTTGAAGTTCACGAGTCATAAAAGAGCCAAAGTTGCCTACCCCTGGCCTAGGCCTAGGCCCCTTCATGACTTGGGGACTTCAACTCCCAGAATTCCTCAGCCAGCATGGCTCAGCTTGGAAACCTCTCCCTTTCCCCTCAGCGTGGCTGACTCAGGAATTCTGGGAGTTGAAGTCCACGAGTCATAAAAGAGCCAAGGTTGCCTACCCCTGCCTTAGAAACTTCCAGGATATATTTGTTAGGTTAGAAGGTTACAGCTTTAATCTGGCAAGATTCTGTCTATTAGCTACAAACAAAGAACTGGCCTTTAGTACAGGGGTCCCCAACCCCCGGTCCATGGACCAGTACTGGGCCATGGCATGGCGGCAACCGGTCCGCACAAACAAGCAAAGCCCCATCCACAGGATGTAGGCAGCACACAAAACCACACACTCTCCAGTCTATGAAAAAACCTCTCTTCGCGGAACCAGTCCCTGGTGCCCAAAAGGTTGGAGACCTCTGCTTTAGTAGATCTCAATGTATCATCTCTGAGACTTGGGCCTGACATGGACAACTTCCTGTAGTTTTCTTAGCAACACTATAGAGGTGGCTTGGCATTGTCATTTTTCAGAGTACAGCTGATAAAGTTCTATTAAGTCCCCAAATTAAGCATCATCAAGTTCTGGAAAACTTCCATCTCTAACTCTCAAATTCTCAAAAAGTCCATGAATAGTGTGCAATTTTTTTCCCCAGTGGAAAAATACTACAAAACACAAGTTCTATAGAGGAAAATATGCTGTTGCAGAAATCTACCCCTCAGAAAGAGGGTGGATGAACAGGGATCACTTATTCTATTGTTTTAAAGGGTTTTGCAAAATTTAAATATCTTTGTAAAGTACAGGTAGTCCTCAACTTACAACAGTCCATTTAGTGAGTATTCAAAGTTACAACGACGCTGAAAAAAAGTGGTTTATGACCGTTTTCATGCTTATGACCATTGCAGCATTCTCATGGTCACATGATAAAAATTCTGACACTTGACAATTGACTCATATTTATGACGGTGGCAGTGTCCCGGGTTCATGTGATCCCTTTTGTGATCTTCTGACAAGCAAAGTCAATGGGGAAGCCAGATTCATTTAACAACCATATTAGTAACTTAACAACTGTAGTGATTCACTTAACAACTAGGGCAGACATGTCAAACACAAGGCCCAGGGGCCAGATGCGGCCCGCGAAATGGTTTCATGTGGCCCGCGAAGGCATCCTGGAAACAGTGAGGGAACGGCCCCCACTGCCTTGGCCCTGGCCCAGGCCGGCCAGGAGCCAATGTACAATTTTGTGATGGCCATCTATGCTGAAACGCATTCAGTCTTAGCTCCACAAGGCCGTCTGGAAACAGCGAGGAACCAGCCCCTGCCGTGTCGGTCCCGCCGCCTGGGTGCATGCTGGGGAGGTGTCGCCCTTTGTGAGGAATGAAGAAATGGACCATGCCTTGGCGCTTGCCCCGGTCCCACCCCCTTCTGCCAGAGACCCCCAGATCTGTCCCACTCCTGCCCAAGCCCCCTTGACGCGAACGATGTAGAGCTGGCCATGCCCACCCAGTAGGCCACACCCACTCCATCCATGCCCACCCAATAGGCCACACACACCCTGGCCACACCCACCCGGCCCCACGAGAACAACCACAATGCTGATGCGGCCCTCAATGAAATTGAGTTTGACACCCCTGAACTAGGGCAAGAAAGGTCGTAAATGGGCCAAAGCTCTTACTTAGCAACGTAAGTGTGGTTATAAGTTGAGGACTACTTATAACATGACTGCATCGATTCAATTAATTTTCAATTTACTGCTGTCATAAACCAATACAGATAATAAACAAGATAAACTTTAAGACAGAGTTAAAGGAGATTATTTTTTTTATGAAGAACATCTGCTGTCCTCTTCTGGTCTAGAGGAACATGACAGGGAAATGTGAACTAACTAAATTAAGGCAAACTATTTGAACTGTCTTTAATTTACTAACAGTTTTTCTGATTGCTCACTTGGGAAAATATTAACAACACTTTTGCAAGTTTATAATCCCTTCTTTAACCACAAAGTTGCCTAAAGTGCAATAATTAGATTAAGGAAAAAGATTATACTAAATAAGGATAAAAGGAAGCTCTTATTGTTGTAGAAATTAAGATAGGAAGTTCATCTTGGGAAGCAGCCTGATATTCCCTGCCTTCAATTGTTTTTCTTTGCTTGTTTTGAAATATTTTAAGACAGATTGAAAAGAAGATTGGAAAAGTATGGATATTCCACCTGTTAAAATTGAGGGATCAAGAAATAACTGGATTTGCTAACCCAGATAAAATTTCCTTTCTTATATCATACAGAATGATGATGATGTATCAACAGAATAAATCCTTCTTTGTAGGTCAACTTGCTTTCAGCAAATAACCTAAAATTACAGAGGGAAAATCACACTCAAGCTCTGGATTTCAGTTCAGATCTATCATGGGCAATATGAAATCTTGCTCCCATAGGCCAACTGAGAATAGAATAGAATAGAATAGAATAGAATAGAATAGAATAGAATAACATAAGAGTAGAGTAGAATAGAACAGAATAAGAGTAGAGTAGAATAGAATTAGAGTAGAGTAGAGTAGAGTAGAGTAGAGTAGAGTAGAGTAGAGTAGAGTAGAGTAGAGTAGAGTAGAGTAGAGTAGAGTAGAGTAGAATAGAATAGAATAGAATAGAATGAGACCTTGAAGGTCTTCTAGTCCAGCCCCCTTTTCAAGCAGGAGAGCCTATACTATTTCAAACAAGTGACTGTCTAGTCTCTTCTTAAAAACCTCCAGTGATGGAGCACCCACAATTTCTGGAGGTAACTTCTGTCGCACTGGTTAATTGTCCTCACTATTAGGAAGTTTCTCCTTGATTCCAGGTTGCTTCTCCCTCTGGTCAGTTTCCAACCATTGTTTCTTGTCCTGCCCTCTGGTGCTTTGGAGAATAGTTTGACCCCCTCTTCTTTGTGGCAGCCCCCCAAATACTGGAACATTGCTATCATGTCTCCACTATTTCTCCTTTTCTTTAGACTAGCCAAACCCAAGTCCTGCAGCCGTTCTTCATATGTTTTAGTCCCCAGGCCTTTGATCATTTTAGGTGCTTTTCTCTGAACTTTTTCCAAGGTCTCAACATCTTTTTTTGTAGTATGGTGACCAAAATTGGTTACAGTATTCCAGGTGTGGTCTTACTAAGGTGTTATAAAGTGTACTAATACTTCGTGTAATCTTGATTCTATGCCTCTGTTTATGCAACCCAGGATTGTATTAGCTTTTTGGGCTACTGCTGCACACTGTTGGCTCATAGTCAAGTGATCGTCCACTAGGACTCCAAGGTCCCTCTCACAGTTACTGTTTTTGAGCTAGGTCTTGCCTAATGCTAACGTAGAGATGGAACCTGGAGATTTTATTCTGATGTCCAAGTTAGGTGGACATCCATACCATCTCTGGCCATTCCAGAGGCTCATTTTATCCAGTTGAAGATCTGATGTTGTAAGATCCCAGATTCCCATACGTGTTTTGCTTCCATGGATATTTTCTGGATCTTCCTTCCCATTGCAAGTAGGAACTGTAGGATTCTCATCAGCCTCTGTTCTTTATGTATATCTTTTTGAAAAGTATATGAAATTCCATGGCTTAATGTTTAATACAGTTTCCCTTTTAAGCATGTTAAATATAAGCATAAACATAGGATGTCAAAGAACTAAAAATTACTTACAGGAATACTAGGCCTTGGTGTAAATGAGGTAACCTAGAGTGCAAACAATGGAAATAAGAGGTTTCAGTATCAACTTCATAAAATAATAACAGCCACAACATAAGGGCGATTGCATTATGGTGATAAATACATGGTAATGCTCCTTTTTTTATTATGACTTCAAAATAGTTCAAAACCATAACATATCCCAAAGGCAATGGAAACTCATCATACAAATGCACTAAGTGTGGGTCTCCAAATGTGTTGATTTTCAGTGTTCAGCATCACTTGCTATTGATGGGCAATAAAACTTGTGACTCAGTAACTCCATGGAAGGCTACACAAAAGCTTGCAACACAAAGCAAAAATTTTGTAGGAGCATTTTTTTTGCAGGCCTTCAGGCCACACAAAACAAGTATAATGCAGTTGACTGACTGAAGCACATCTTCACCTTAAATAACAGAAGAAACTTTGATTTTCAGAAACATTGGTTTACTTTTTCCACCCATATGTCCTCATTTCATTTATAATCCTTACAGTTTTTTTCTTAAGGTAAAGACACTTCAAGTTGTACTTGTAGTGATTTCATGGATTGTGGTGGAATGACTTCAAGTCATATTGAACATACATAAAGACATGGTGTATAGTCTATAGTGGTGGGATTACCTCACCAGGAAATAATGGGATCTAATCTTGCTTATCTTATTGAAATCAGCCAAGTTTAACTAGGTGTCCTTACAGCTTTTTAAATGCAGTTGTCATGGTTCCGACAGATGAAACTCTTCAAAGAACTTCGAGGCATTGTTTACCTTAAAGAATCTTTATTGAAGTAGCATAGCTTGGGCACTAACATAGCTGAAGCCAAAAACTGGATTCCCCTCCCCTGAGCACATAGTATCAAAGCAAAATTCCCTCCCCTAATTAACAGTCATAAATCACATTCTCCAATTAGTTTGAAATGTAGGCTTTCCCTCCTGTTCTCCAATCCGCCATTTCTTATCATCTCTTATTTCAAAAGCCCTGAATTCACACACTATTACAATATTGTTATGTCTAACTAACTCCCATCACATTCCTCCTCCTCCCCCAGTATCATCTAATTCTAAGAGTAAAGCATAAGAAAGAAAAAAGGCTGCATCTCCATATGTCGTCAAAGCAAGAACATCCAATGTTAGCAGCGTTGACATCAGTTCTACTTACTTTTCCAGGTGGACCTGGGAGACCAGGAGCACCAATTTCACCCTAGGAAGGAAGGAAGGAGGGAGAAAGATATAGAGAAGGAAGAGAGGAAGGATTAAAGAAAGAAATGGAGACCCAGTTTTGTATCTGAATTTATTAAATGTAAACCATGGTATACAAATTCATCTTCCAATAAGGAGAGGATCTGCCATAAATCTAATAAATATTCATGAAATAGTTATATTGCTACATTCCATAAGTATTCATTCGTCACCTCCCGCCTGGACTACTGTAATGCTCTCTACATGGGACTCCCTTTGAGGAGCACCTGGAGACTCCAACTGGTCCAGAATGCGGCCGCGCGGGCGGTGATGGGAGGGACTCGTTACTCCCATGTGACACCGCTCTTGCGCGAGCTGCACTGGCTGCCAGTGGTTCTCCGGGTGCGTTTTAAGGTGTTAGTTACCACCTTTAAAACGCTCCATGGCATTGGACCTGGTTACCTCCGAGACCGCCTTCTGCCACAGATCTCCTCCC